TGACCGAGACTCAAACCTGGGACCCTCGGAATACCGTACTGCGGCTCTGCTGACTAAGCTATCTGGCCGCCTACAAACTACCTCCCCTCCCCTAATTAGAGAACAATTCAATACCTTGACATAATTATTTTCGGAATAATTTGGGATTCGAACATAACACAACATTAGGTCTCCTAAAGAGTTTTTCAACATCATTTTTACCCCATCTTACTACTATGTTTACCTTTTAGCCCTAATTGTTCTGGAATTTCATTCATTACACCCATTATCAGGAGATAATTTGGTTATCTGTTACTTGTCATTGTGGGAGGTCTATAAAAATCGGTACGACAAGATTTTCAAAATAGAACATGTCCTATCCCTTACATCTAGACATAAGGTTTCCGAAATCAAGAAATAGTAGCCTTCACACATTAAGATTTGTCTGTACATCTTACTTTTAATTGGTGTTGTACTTCAAAATCCTACCGTCTGTTGAGGCCTTAAGATACTTAGGTAATTAAGCAATCATGATAATTAACAATGGTATTATCGCAGGCCTTCTATTGTGAACCATTGTCATTTTCAAAAGACATTTATTGACATAAAAAGGTTCATTGTAATAATATCGTATTTTTAACATACGCACAATGTTAATGTAAAGGTAAAGAGGAATGTTAATATATAAATACCAAAACAAAACTAAATAATTAGCAAATTTTGTATTCAGAACAGAATTATTCACACAATGAATGCTCAAACAATCGTAAAATTAGATTTTGTATTCAACGAGTTTATTTTCTTGACAAACCTAGCGCGTTAAACATGTCTGTATAGGGTTTTAAAGAGATTAATTATAAGTTCCTTAATAGAATGTCTGACAGATGTCAGGATTCATTAACGAGATAACCAATACAAATGCTTGTAAAGAATGGGCGGATAGAAAAATATTCAGGATTTTAGTTACAGAAAAGATTTGTTGCTGAAGAATAGGCATCCATTTAATTTACGTATAAGCACTTTTCTGTCCAGAAAGATTAAAATTCCAAAGGAACAAAAATAAAAACATATTATACTACCCTTCCTTGAATCAGCGCAACACTTTCCTCGGGTTCTTGCATTTTAACTTCATGTATCAGTAAACGCTCAGTGTATTTACTAATTTAAGGCCCGGTCACACAGCCTTTCGCGTCTGTATCGCGGGTAAAATTTCGCGATTTCTTTTTGCCCGCGGTTGCCCGTGGTAGAAAATGTGCAAAATTGGCTTACCCGCGGTTTATCCGTGGTATGCCCGCAGAACAGACGCTGGCGACTGTTCCGCGTCCTTATTGCGGTTGAAGCGCGGCGGTACCGCGGCCTACCACGGGTATAATAAAGCAGTCGAACCGGGCTGTTCTGGAGACCCTCTCTGAAATCACTTGCATTGTAGATGTGGGCATCAGACGAAGACCCCTTGCCGCTGACGTCTATCCAGAGGAACTTGTAGTCAGATGTGACGACTGCCAGGAGGATGACACTGAAGAAGCCCTTGTAGTTGAAGTAGTCGGACCCAGTGTTGGCAGGAGATTTACAGGCAATGTGCTTGCCGTCTATTGCACCAATGACATGCGGAAAGTTCCAACTGTTCATCCAATTGTCACTAATCTGACGCCACTCTGCAGCAGTCTGTGGTGGCGCGAGCAGCTCATCACGGAACTCCTCGACGATGGCCGCACACACTTCGCGCAACACCAGACTGATGGTGTTGTGAGGGACCCTCCAGCCATACTGCATCTCACGGTACTTGGCGCCAGAAGCAAGGTGCCTCAGGGTGAGGGCAACCTTCAGGCCTGGATCAAGGGGTGCTCGCCAGTTTGTTGTCTCCTTGGTAAGGGCTGGTGTCAGTTTCTGCACAATTTCATCGAACATGGCAGGTGGCATTCTCATGAAGTTCTGGAAGGCCCTTGGATCTTCATTACGGAGCTCCACCATGAGACGATCGTACAGCCCCAGCTCAGGTCTCCTGCCAATCCAGTCGCGCTCCCAGATGTTCCGGACCACCCTCCTCCTCCTCCTTCGTCTTCTTCTGTCAATGTGGAGGTGATGGACCTGTACCACTTGGTTCTGATGCTGCTGGAGCAGCAAGACGAGGTCATTACGGTGACGGGGATCCATATTCACCCCTTGACGTCTGGAGCACAACTGACATATGCTCGGCAAATAGCTCTTTTTATTTTCCCAAAAATAGACGTTGTACGGACGCAATTAGGCCGTGGACAATCGTATTTGGGACGTGTACAAGACGCAATTGAACGTGAATAGGCCGGTATTGGGGCGCGCTGTTTACGCGGAGAAAGGCGTTTGTCCGTGCTTACACGCGGTACACACGCTAATGCACGTGATAACAACGCGGTACAGACGCGGAACAAACGTGCTATGACCGTGCTCAACCCGCGATTACCCTCTAAAATTTCGCGTCCTACCGCGTGTAACCACGTCTTAACCGCGGCCGAAGCACGTCCTTACACGTTCGTTCCGCGTCTGTACCGCGTCTTTACCGCGTGTGTACCACGTTTACCGCCCGCGATTACCCGCGGTCTAAATTTTTGGGCAGCCCAAAACTTTTTCGCGCGGCCAACCGCGTGTGAATTTCTTACCGCGTGTAACGACGGGTAAAGTACGGCTGAATCGCGTCTTTATCGCGACCTCAAAGCGTCCAACAGCGTCTGCTTCACGGGCAGAAATTTTTGGCCGTTATTCGGCCGCGATACGCCTGTGGAGGGCTGTGTGACCGGGCCTTAAGAGCTTACCAATTTATAACTAAATACTATGTCCTCGTTATTTTGTTTTTCATTTCTTTTTTCAATTTAAAGTATGATAGATGATCTTTGTTACATTTCAGAATGGTATGTTTACTTTATGGACATCAGATGGGCTGATGTTTTGTTTCTTTTTTAATCCGATGAATGATGGTCATAACCAAAATATTATATATCATTTACAATTTCATTCAAACCGTTTCTTCCAGGCTTAAATATTCTTAAAGATCGTTCAGCACGACATTACTGTTGTGTTTGTGGTATTTTTAGTTTTTAATATTTGGCATTTTCTGGAAGGGTGATTCTAATATTACAACTTGAATAATGTTGAATCACCATTAGGATATGTTGCCCGCTTTTTAACTTTGTCTGTTTACTTCTTATCTTTGATATGCAGACTTCATTACCTCTTATCCCCTTTCAAAATATAATTTTGTTTAGTTCCTCCCAGTGTTTACTCGTTTAGGCAACACGCATTGTATTACTTTGGGACCATACGCCGCATTTTATGGAAAGACCACATTGCAGGTTCCGTAATAACCGCCGTATGAACACATCTGCGGATGTTTCTAAATTCAAAATTTTACTATTTCATGTTTAAATGTTAAATTCTGCTTAAGCCTGTGCTAGAATGCGTGGACGGTAGTTTTCATTTGGCAGAACCGTCCATGAACATTCTCAATCAAACAGAGCCTGCAACATTTTCAAATTTGCCGCTATGGGCTTTCCTTAGAGATTCTTATTTTCTCTTTTTTCATCATTTCATTTCAAATGTATCTCTTGTATTTTTGCAAATGACTGTGCTATAGATTTTTATTTTTAAAGGCAATTTATCTATCTTATTAATATAATAATGTTCCTTTGTTATGCAAAGGTATAATTCAATATTTGTCGTTCAAGAGGTAACCATATACTTGTGTTGGTTTTTTTAATAAAAGAAGTATTAATATTCGGCTATATAGTTTTATTGATAAAGCTTATAATGAACTTAGTATTTATTAAATTACAATTATAAAGTACTTGTGAATATGCGTTGAATGTTGAGAAGCAACTAACACTATTCTTCTCAGGAAATATTACAGCATTCAATATTTTTTCTAAAATATTGTGTCACTTGCGAAAATGATTTTTAGAACACACAATAAGACTGAATTTAGGTAGGTAAACAATATCAAGCAAATATATCAATAACACAACTGTTACAGGCGAGACTTTTATTCACGGAATTCAGTTTATGTTTAAAATGTCTTTTTTACCTTCTTAAATTTTAAAATATCATTGCTGACTTATCTTGGTACAGAGATGTTTGAGCAAATCCTTGGTAAGAATAGGAACAATACTAATTAGTACATGTTTGTGTTTTATTTTCTGGTTTGATGGATTTTAAGTCAAAACAACACTGTAAATGTCGTGAAGCGATGTTCAAGCTTTCTGAAGCCCTCAGGTGCCCCGTCGTTCATAATTGCGGGGATAAGCGGGAAATTTAATAGAAACACCGAATTCTGTAAGTACTGAAACGTTTTATGTTGGAAGTTTTAATCAGTTAATTAAAATGTTCATCTTCTTTTATTATTAAGCAAGCAAAACGGGAGAGAAATAAAGAAGTTAGAAAAAACGACAAAAAAAGCCAACAACAAACAAAAACGAACAACAACCAAAAAATCAGACAATTTCTATTGTGGGCATCTTTTTTTTTTAATTTATTTTTGAATTGCAGAATTGAATTGAATCGCATCTACTTATCAAACTCAAATTCGTATCTGTGTCCGAAAGAAGTCTGCATACTGTATATAATGATGTAGTTTTACACAGTCTTGTTTATTTAGGCCAACAGCCATGATTATGAACCTTCCCAGCGCCCCAAATATCCCATATAACATCACCTTAGCATATTTCCTGTCAATAAAAAATCAATCAAGTCAAAAACGAAAATAAAGACATACAAGCAAAAGGTAAATGACATCTGATTTATTAAGGGTCAAAAGAAGACCAATTAAATTTCAACTATAATAGCAAATAATTTTTTGAGAACTATTATTTTGACTGACTAGGAACGTCAATAAAAGATATATTTCTAGACATATACGTTTGCAAAATATCTTAATGTAATGCATAGAAAAATGCTTGATAACGGATTTTAAATCTGATTCTTTTTTATGATTCTAAAATGATCTGTATCACTGAAATAAATGAATGAGGGGAAAATAAATACAACAAATCATACCACTATACTTGGGTTAACAATCCGAACAGCTTCAAATCTAATTCGAAATTCCTCTGTATAAATTGCTGGCTGTAAAAAAAAAACATCAAGGTACATTTCCGTGATCATTGATAGTCTACAATGCAAATACATCTTATCTACACTTCATCATTATGTTCTCCTTATTTCTTTAAGCAGCATTATTTTATGAAATTTGTAGCTTTTTTCAATTATTTTTTGAGTCAAAATAATATTGTTCCTTTACAAGAAAAAGTATATGCTTAATTTGCAAAATGTTTATTCCGTTTGAAAATGCTTATATTGGCTGTATTAGTCTAACAAGTATAGTTATTACTCTTTATGTCTATATTTCAACGAGCTTGGTGCACTATAGGCAAACCATTGCCTTTTTGTTTCTAGAAAAACTAACATGTCCAGAAAATATTTTCATTTTGATACAAGCGATGTCATACGCACGCGTAAAATGGTAGCGAAGGAATGGTCATCTATGCACTGCATATCTTTAAAAGAGCCGAATGAAATGCTTCCTAGACGAATGTCTGTTTAGATCTGCTCAGTTGTTGAAAGTAAAGTGAAGCGTTACGACAAAAATATATATAACGTCGGTACTAGTAGTACTCGTTTCATACTATGACAGGTACGCTTCAGTCAGTGTTGTAAAGTGCCAGAAACCCGACACTATGTATTATTTAAATATAGACAGTGTTGCTCGTAATGGTTTATCATAAAGTCTTGATCAATTAACGATGTACAAACTTTCAATAAGCAAACGACAGACGATAAAACATCAACATAGTATATAAGACATTAAAGGCATCATACCGTTACAAAATCTAACCAAATTAAAACGGCACACGTGTGACCTCGCCTTACTATTTATAAAAGGCAGCTTCTTAGATGTTTGAAACCAGAACTTTTTCGCACAGAACTATTTAAATTATCTCAAAAGAAAAATACAAACATAAGAGAGATAAATTTCTCCAAAACAAACTTGTTTCCTAGTTTCTAAATGACAACAAATTGATATATTAATGTAAATGTTTTATGACAGTGCAATGCAACATCTCCTACATCCATGCTTTTTGTCCAAACAGTTCCCCTTGAGAGAACGTATTTACGCATGATTTAATTTTAGCCTGGTTCCACGATATTAAGTCTCGGAAAACTACATACAGTTGCACTGTCCATAATTTGTATACGGAGATAAGAAAACATTGTCTTTCCATTTGAAGAAACTGTAAACAAAAATGTTTGCAAAAAAGCCAGAAATTTGACATTGGTCATGAAGTGTAAAGCTGATGTATATCAATGTTTTTCTCCACTTGCGATTTTATTAATGGCTCGCAAAATAAATGGTGTCATTCCGCAGTAAATCATGCATCTTATTAAAAATCATATAAGACTTGGGTGCTTCGCAGCCGAATAAATGATAATATACAAAAATCCGTTTCCATGGCTGGCGAAATTTAAAGAATGGTAACACAAAAACAAAAAGCTATACCTGTGTAGAACGATTATTACTATTATGATATATTTATATAAAAAAATTGTTTATACTTATAACCACTAATTTCGCGTCATCACTTATTTCACGGTAATGGCATACATGTATTTCCATGTGACCAATTTTAACATGTCTTTGAGTGAAAATTGACACATTTAAGGCATTTGTGATTAATGCTTCCGAAGAATCACTTTGTTTCCAGATTTCAGACTTATATACCTAAACAGTACAATTTTGTGCAAAATGTTTTAAATCTATAGATTTAATCTTACAACAGAACAATATGTATGAATTTCTGTAAAATATCGCCATTGACCGTTTAAATGTATGCATATATCTGTAACAATCGCCATTCCTGTTTTTCGCAAAAAAATATTTTCAGATACAAAGTAAAGATAGTTTAAATATTTAAAGCTGAGCAATATAACATTTAGTCATTTTAACCAAAGCATGAACATAGCTTGTGTGCAACACCATTTACCACGATTTAAATGATGACATAGTGTTTTCAAAATGTATGACCTATGGTCTACGTCTGGCCCATTAAATCTGATTTTGATTGAATATGTTGTTGTGTTATTTTGTCATAAAGCAGAATATACCTGTAAACGTACGTTAAAGCTTATATTATTGTACTATAAGTTTTTCGTTTTCTTTCTTGGTTTCAAAGCATTAAGTACCGAGAACTAAGAGGAGCACAGTACAGTAACCTTTTTCTTTTAAAGACACATATGTCTCCGGAACAAATAAACATTCACTTGTTAGGAAGGGCAAATATGAACATTTCAATGTTTAAATATTTGTTTAGAGAATTTTCTGGAGAAAGTGGCGATAAATGTGAAATTATTTGTCATAAAAGTAGCAAAATGTAAACAAAGTAGTATTTTGACTTTCATACAAAATACTTATTCACTTATAATTGTACTTATTGCCAAAACAAAACAATAAAATGCAACAACAGATGAAAATGATGGTTCAGGTCATTGGCCAATGAGTAACTTTTTAGAAATTATAAAAGTAAATCAAATTTAAAAGGCTTCTGAGAAATAGAAATTAAAGAATTGTAGCTGTCTAATCCGAACTCGTCCGGACCAGAAGAAAAGTTCGGATTAGAAAGGTTTTCAGATTAGAAGGTTTTTTGCATGTTTTTTTTTCATGTGAAGCGCAGAACAGTTTATTAAAAGAAAACGGGAATGCATAACAAATTGCGATATAAATATTTTATTTTTGCAATCTCTTATCGTTCATTAAAATACATGTGAATACAAAAATAAATAAATAAATAAATAAATAAATATTCGGACTAGCATTTGTCAATAATTGTTGTTTACGCTATCCGATTCAGCGATTATCCGAATTCACTGACAGTTTCCATTACTTTCCGTTATTTAATCCCATGTCATTAAATTCTTACAAAAGATTAAAAGTTATTTGTATAGCATTATATCAAAATATATATTAAAGATGGCGAAAACAATTAAGCAATTAGAGTAGTTATCAAGGCAAGCTAAGTGTTATTTTCACACCTGCGCAGATCATACGTTTCAACCATTAATCAGGCGAAAATACTCTTATCATTTTGGTGTATTTTTACACCTGCAAGATGTGCGATTATTTGTTATTTTGAATGTAAGTGTGACATTTAGCAAGATCTGTTCGGATCACACAAATTGAACAAATCGTCCGGATTTCAGAGTAGACAGGTTCCGGATCCGAAAGGTTTTTACTATTGAAACTAGAACAAATAAAATCGGGACCGAACACTTCGGATAAGAAAGGATTCCGAGAAGGGTTCGGATTTGCAAGGCTTCACTGTATTTCTAAGGCATAATATGCCTTTAAAAAGTATGTTTTACTAATTATTATCAGGCATAGAAAAGATATAGTTTAGACTATTTATCATATTACAATCTAAGATTAATATCTTTAAATTTAATTTAATACTTGTACAGGTGCATTTTAAAAAGTCTGTATTTTAAATAAATAAATAATTGTATGCATTAATATACTCACGTCAACTCTTTCAAGGGCAAATATACACTTGATAGGACGTCTACCAAGCTCTTGTGCAATACGTTCTTTGGATGCCACGGCCTTCGGATGTTTTGGATCAATCCATTGCCAAATTGCCGACGAAACCAAAGTAGATGCAAAACTTGATAACAAGAGAATAACGAAACAAATTTTCACAAAATTCGGCTTCATTTTCTCCTTGTATCCTTTTACTAGACCGCCAGGTAGGGTGTTATCCAAATGGCAATGTCCTTTAAGTACCAATGCTTATAAATTCGACTGAACAGACTTGACAGCTATCAAACAATACGATAATGTTAATTATATGCACAATTATTATTTTTGAAAGCATTAACATTAATATAAACTGCGTGTTTCAATAAGGAAACAAAATGGTCACATAATTATGCATATTCCGTAAATATCTTAGGATAGGACAATAAACAATGCATCTTAATTTGATGTTATATCCTTGAACTCGTAAAGATAGAGAATGAGAAATAAAATAATATGTTACCAAATTATGTTATGATTGTTGAGGACTATTCTCAGTTTGCCTTCGTTAAAGCAGCATGTCTTTAAACGAGAAAACACAAATTCAAAATATGCTTCTGCTTCTAAAAATGTAAAATAGAGAAAAAACGGAATTTCGAAATTACGCTCAAACCGTCAAAATTGAGAATGCTGCAGACTTGGTTTGAATAAGTCTGTTCATGGACGAAACTGTAAAGTGCAAGTAACCTTCCACGCTCCTAGCAAGTGTCTGAGCAAAATTTAGCTTTAAATCATGGTAATAGTTAAATTTTAAATTTACAAACATCCGCAAATGTTTTCGTAGGGTGGGTTACTTAGAAACTTCAATGTAGCTGATTAGTGCCATTGCATGACAGACGGCGTATGGTACCCAATTAAAAATAAAACATACGTGTACCCTAAAACGAGAAAACAATGGGTGGAACTGCACATAGTGGCATTTTAAAAGGGGATCTGAAGTGATGAAAGCTGCATATCGCAGACAAGACGTTAAAAGACAAATTTAAAAAGGAGGAAAAATATATATCCTATGGATGATTATACAGTATTCCAGTAGGAATACTGGACTCACCCAAGATGAAACGGTCAAACAGAAGAAAATTAAAATATCACATAACATGTATTCACAACAATTATGTCGTCCTGAACGATCTTCAACGATCGGAACTAAAACATATTTGATAATATGAACGGAGTGAATTTATACCTCCTCCAAACTGATCCTAGGAAATTTTTCACATATACAGTACTCACAATCCCTTTTAAGAACTTAAATGGTATAAAAAAATGACACTGAAGCCAGTATCTTTGTCAGAATACATTTTGCGGATCTTAAAAGTATATAAAGGTTCAATTTTCTTAAAACTGTTATACTTTCTACAATGTGTTTGTTTGAATTAATAAAAATCAAAAATATAACTTCCTAAATACCTGTATGAAAGAAATGTGTAATTATATATTCTTATTATTGCAAATGACATGTGGACAACATCATTTGCTAAACAGTTTAAAGCCTTAATTTAAAAGCAGCATTATATTTTGTTCCGGAATATTTTATTCGTATAATATTAATGTGTGTACAATAACAATGACATTTCATGTTATAACTTTTTCGAGAAGCTACCAAACCATTATTTAAACAATGTGCTTTTTGAACCGTTATTTAAAAAAAAGATATAACTTTACACCCATATACATCAGACAATATTGAAGTGACGTTATGAAGTAAGGACACGCTTTATATAAGGTATTCCGTCATATGTTGAATAAATAATATTGCTTGAATATCTACTTGTTCGTTTCCAAATTATATTGCGGTTTGATTCTAAAGTATTTCTATGAGTAATATGAACAAACACCTTCTTCAAATAAAGATATAATAAAAGTATTTGCATATTATGAAGCTTATGTATGAGTTGTTTTGTACATTTTAATATAATAAAACCCCATTTTGTCATTTTACTTAAAATATTTAAATTGCTGTGCGTACGTGATACTATTGTCAATTCTTGCAGTGAACAATTAAAATTGTATAAATGATTTACTATACTTAAACATTATAACAAACAATACGCATGCAGTAGAATGAAATGTTTATAATCAATATTCACATATATCATGAATTTGACATTTATTTGTACTTTACTTTTACATGTGTCACAGTTTTATATGATACACATTTACATATCCTTCGAAATGACGACAACACAATTGCTACTTCAAATCCCTTTGTTACATATTAAATGCATTTTATTCTCATTTTGAATGTCAACAACAGTTGATTTGATAGTAATGAATTAATTTATGGATAAATACATAATTGAATTCCTACTCCTTACCAAAACAACAATATTAATATAATTAAAATTGTATTTCATAAAGGTTCGGTCCTTGATCAAAACTTATGAAAACAATTTCTAAAAAATGTTTCTAAACTATAAAGTAAGTACCATTTTCATTTGTTGACAGTTAAAATATATTTTAGCCGATGCTCGAGGTTTGCATCCAGTAGCATCACTTTTTTATATTGGTCATGATTATTTTTAAAATGCATTTCCGTTTAATTATTTGACTGCTTACTATTGTTCACATGTTGCAATGTACTTTAATCTTAAGACAAAAAGTAATATAACTGTCACAGAGTCAGTTTTCTTTTACATTCCTGAGACAAGGCCTATAATTTTTAAATGATGTTATTTTGCATTGTCTTTGAAAGTCAACCTTGATTTATAAGCAAAAACACACCTTAATGTTTGTTCTGGTTTAACGATCACATTTCCCTCATGTGACATCTTTAATGGTTAGTTCAAGAAAACCGGTGCGAGAGTTGTTGAACTTTTCTACAATAGCGTGCATAATCCAGTGTTGTCTGCAAAGTTCAGTGCTGACACGAGTTCAACACAATTCCAATTTAATTTAAGACCATAATATCATAACTAGAATAACAAAAAAAAATCTTTTTTTCCAATGCCTGCTCGGAAATATCGTTAAAAAGTCAAAAATGATAACATCATTTAGTGATTACACTGCATTTTGTAAATATAAATTATCAATGATATTGTCTAGTTTATTTCCGAGTGTTACATGTCATTCAGATGTAAGACGAATTACATAGGTGACAATCGAAGATTTTTACTTCGTTAAGGCCTATCGTTTTAACATATAAGCTTATGGAGCAATCATAATGTGCGAATGTTACAAATTTAAACACTTATCTAATATTATAATATCAAACATAACAAACGCACCTGTATAAGTGTGTTAAAAGATAGTGTGTTAAATTGTTCATACAAACATTTTATTTCAAATTGTCCGTACTTTAATTCAATTACAGAGTATTCATAATTTCATTGATTTCAAGTTTGTTCCTATCAATTTATTTACAGATAGTTTATACTCTCAGTTTGGTTGTATGATGTGATACATTCACTCAATTAAAGATTTATAAGTATAAGAGGTTAATGGAAATTGATGACTTTTTAAGCTCATTGAATTATTTAATTACAGACTAATTAATCTTCTGTTTGTAACAGATAGTTACAATTCTCTTTTAAACTACATATCATCAGGGACTTGCGTTCAATTACAAAAGGGTGCGCCTGTGATTGACTGGTTACATTTGTAAGATCGTTGAATTCAAACTGCTTGCCTGCCTTTCATAGCTGTAGGTTTGAATTCTGTCTTCCGGCTTTCGGTTTTTTGTAATGTGAAGAAGATACTGGATCGCTTACAGAACGCCAGTGGTTTAGATTCGAGCCTGAAATAAGACATGGAGTCATCTGCGATCACAAATTCGTTTACATTTCATAATGGAATGTGTATAATTCAATAATTGTTCAGTTTATCTTACATCCATTTACTTTGATCGCATACCATTCATGCCTCCTCTCAACAACAAACTGTGCATTGCAGATTGTTTTTAGTTCAGATAAAAACATTTTATAAAAGATTTACCATGTGTTACAACAAAGAGACAGTAACAATATTTATTCCATTTAAATAGTTACATTTCTATTCCGACATGTTTCAAGATTTCACATTTTAGTGTTACTTACAGCTTGTCGAGCGGATGAAATAGTCAGAAATGAGTAAGCGCTTTTTTATTGAACAAAGGCACATGCAATTCACCCTCGTTTTGAAAAGTTCTCAAACTTTACATGAAATGAATTTCATGCAAATATCTTACAAATGAATCTACCCCTTTCATAATAATAATTAAAACAGAAATGTGAATAAAATGCAACAGACTGAGCTCGATTTGTTTACGTCTTTTTCATATTTGAAAGTGCCAGAAATTGAGATTCACTTTTTAATGTCTTGTTTCATTTTTACAAGTGCCAAAAACAAATTTCAGTACATCATATCATATTTTTTGTTTATTTGGAAATAAAAAAAAACAACAACAAACATCGCTTCTTTAGATTGGCAATGAATGTTTATGCAGTTGTAAACTTTGATTTCGTGTTGTGAAGTGAACAAAAAGTAATTTACATTTTGCAAACTGCACTTAAAATCTATTAAAAATGCCAAAATATAGCCTAATGTCAGAGTATGCTGGAAAAAACTCCGTTTGTCAGGCGATAAATACTGTAAAATCAGTCGTAAATTTCATATTGCATGTCAATTTTTGCTTAAATTGTGAACGTCTTTACTGTTATTGAAATTTAGCAAATTGTGCTTGGCTTGTTTTCGTCTTTCTTTCATATTTTTAAGTGCCGGATATTGAGATTCACTCTTTTACGTCTTGCTTCATTTTTACAAGTGCCAAAAACAGCTTTCAATACTTTATATTATCTTTTTAATTTGGACAAAAAAAAGAAAACAACAACACACATCGCTTCTTTAGATTGGCAATGAATATTTTGCAATCGTAAAATTGGATTTCGCGTTTAACGTGAATATTATCATGAACATAATAGCTAATGTATGCTGAAAAAGCCCTTACTTTTTTCACGCAAAATAAATATTGTGGTAAAATACTGCAAAATCAGTCGTACATTTTATATAGCATGTCAATTACTGCTAAAATAGTTAATTTGTTTACTGGTCTTGAAATTTAAGTACAATACCTCAAGGTTTATTTTCTTCAACTATTTTGGCTCATTTACAGGCATGCAACTTTAAAGAGATTAATTGTTAGTTCCTTAATAGATGTCTGACAGCTGTCAAGATCCATTAACAAGTTAAACAAAATACTTTGTTGTAAGGAATAGACGGTTGATATCAAACTAGAGTCTTTAGTGACGGATCTGTTCACTGAGGAATTCGCAGCCATATAATTTATGCACAGGCATTTTTCTGTCAACATAAAATAAGTTTTCTCACTAAAGAAGAAGAAACAACAACAAGCAAACAAACAGAAAAATGAAATTAATGCGATAATCAAACAAAACCTGGAACAGAAGCAACGTTTTGTTTAGGTTTTGTTGCATCCAACTTCTGTTCTCATTAACCTTTGGAAGTATTCGCTTGAAGCTTGAAATACAAAAACACAAAGAGCAACCAGGAAATAGAGAAAAACAGAATCCCTAAAGAAAGCCCAACACGGCAAAATTGTAAAATGTTGCAGGCTCGGTTTGATTGAGCCTATTCATGGACGGTTCTGGAAAGTGCAAGTTACTTTCCACGTCCCCTAGCACCGGCTTAAGCAGAATTCAACATTTAAACACAAAATGGTGAAATTTTGAAACTAGACACATCCGCAGATGTGTTCATACGGCGGTTATCATGGAACCTTCAATGTGCCACAGTAGTGTCATTTCATGAAAAGCGGCGTATGGTCCCCCAGTAAAGGAATGCGTATGCCCTAAACGAGAAAACAATGGACGGAACAAAAAAAGGAATTTTGAAAAGGGATCTGAGGTTATGAAGCTTGCATGTCACAGACAAGACGTCAAAAGACAAATTTAAAAAGCACGCAATATATCCTGAGGGTGATTATACATTATTCAAGTAGGAATACTGGAGCCACCTAAATTGCAAAAAGGTCAAATACAAGAAACTAAAAATACCATCCAAAATGTATACACAACAATAATGTCGTGCTAAACGATCTTCAAGGATCGAAATATAACATCGTTGATGAAATGAACGGGGCGACATTTTACAGTCGCCACACATAAAATATGATAAACAAGATCAACAAGGAAAGGCGGCGTTCAATGAACGCAACATAACACGCATGTGACAATGAAAAAGAGAAAAACAGTATCCCTAAAGAAAGTCCAACACGGCAAAATTGTAAAATGTTGCAGGCTCGGTTTGATTGAGCCTGTTAATGGACTGTACTGGGAAGTGCAAGTAACAGTTCGCTTCCCCTAGCACCGGCTTTTAATTTTGCCGTGTTGTACTTTCTTAAGGGATTCCTATTTTCTCTATTTTATCGCCACATCAGCGT